ACCGTTTGGGATGAGCACTGGGTGTTGTATGGAAACCAATTTGACAATAAATTTCATATATAAAAATAAATAAATAAAGGTAGATCACTTGGGTCTAATCAACTCACTACACCTGTGGGATTTTAGGCAAGTGAATTTATCAGTTTCTTCTGCCAGAGAGACTAATAATAACTACCCCTTTAGGTTATGGTGATAGACACAGTTGACCTTTGAACAACGTGGGGGTTAGGGACACCAATCCCCACTCCCCATGCAGTTGGAAATCCATGTATAACTCTCGACTCCCCCAAAACTTAACTACTAACAGCCTACTGTTGACTGGCAGCCTTACTGATAACATAGTCAATGAGCTCATATTTTGCATGTCTTAGGTACCGTATGCTATATTCTTATGAGGAAGTAAGCTAGGGAAAAGAAAAATGTCATTAAGCAAGTCATAAGTTGGGGGGGGCACCAGGATGGCTCAGTCAGTTGATTTCAGCCCAGGTCACGATCTCATCGTTTGTGAGATTGAGCCCCGTGTAGGTGTAGGACTCTGTGCTGACAGCGTGGAGCCTGCTTGGGATTCTCTCTCCGTTTCTCTTTGCCCCTCCCTCACTTGCTCTCTCTCAAAATAAATAAACAAACATTTTAAAAAATCATTAAGGAGAGAAAATATATTTAAAGTACTGTATTGTATTCATTGGAAAAAAAAATCCATGTATAAGCAAACCCATGCAGTTCAGACCTGTGTCATTCAAGGGTCAGCTGTAAATATTTGTAAAGTGCTTTGGTGCCTAGAATAGAGCAATGTGCTCAAGAAATACTAGTTATCATTATTATTTTTGTGTCATTTCACCCATTCAATGGTGGAGGAGGCTCTGTTTCCTCAGTTGGTAAGCCGACGGCAAATACCTCTTGAGGGACTTCTCTGTGTCAGGCGCTATGTTAGGCACAGAGGATAAGTCTCTGTGGTAAGAAGATAAGGCCGAGATGTGGTCTCCTCTCTCAAAGGTCTCAGTCTAATATGGGAAACTCAGCAGATCCACAGCAGGGAATCAGACCAGCCAGAGAGTTCCAAAGGCCTCAGACTTCTGAGACAGGATGCTGAGGGATCCTTTTGAAAGGTTTCCTTTGGGATCCTAATCGATGAAGTTGTAAGGGGAAAAGCATAAACTTTGGGGCCAGACAAACCTGGGTCCAAATTCTGGCTTCATCGCTTATTGGTTGTGTGACCTCATCTATAAAATATGTAATGAAATGAACTGTTGTGGGGAATAAATGAGATTATGGGTTAAAAAAGATCCAGTCCAGTGACTGACACTTAGTAGATTATTCAAAAATGTTGGGTTCCTCTCTTTTCTCATGGCCAACCAGAAACCTGATGGGTGTCCCATACTTTGGAGTCAAAAGAAAGCCAAAATTATTCCTGAATGTACCACCAAATCACAGGGGGTCAGAAGACCCGGGATTCTAGTCCACTTCCTTGGTGCTCCCTCCATTGGTGCCCCCACAGAGGCACAACTAAGGGCCTTCTTCCTCCTTCATTTCTAGAGTTTGAGTTAAAGAATCAATATAATTTCAGGGTATCTTGTGTAATTTGACCTAGAGAAGAACTGGCTAAAAGAACACATCAAGGAATTTCATGAAAAAGAAGGCTGCCAGGCTGATTGATGGAGAGCAAACTGGAAAAACTAACTGTCCACTCCTTCTAGTCACCTATGGCAAGCAGGCTTATCTCTGGGGAGCATGAGCACTGGGTGCCAAGCTCCTCACATTACAGGAGTAGACTCTCTACTTTTTTTTTCCTTAAGGGTTTTGCCCAGGCAACTCTCTTCCCTTTAGTCCAGGCCATACGTGCTGTTTGCAAAAATGTCCCTACCTTCTTCCAGGAATTTTAATCTATCATTAGCATGATCTGCCCCTGGATATGCCTTAAGTTCTTCACAAGCCCTGTAAAAAGAAAGGTGGCAGAGGCCAAAAAACAGGTGGCTCCAACAAAGGAGGCAAAGGCACAGTGGTAGCTGGACAGTCTTATCTCGTCTCTGTCCTTTCCAATTAATTGTCCAGTGGCTGCTGTGGATGTGAGCATACTTTATGCCGTCTCACCTATATTTCAGCATGACCTGCTCCCACATGTCCTTGTGGGTGGGCAAGACTACCCCAGGCCTCTGAGCTGATGGGCACACTTCCCCACAACATACTGACTACTATGTATTCCAAAACGTCATAGTGATCAGTTTGGTCTGTAGCCCAGCTGCCTGGGGAGCAGGCTAGATTACATCTGTGGTATGAAGTTCTTGGTATGGACACACCAGGCCAGGTTCCTCAAAGGAAACTGAGCAAACAGAAGATCTTAGCAATTTCTATAGAAGTCTCAGAGACATCAACGCAACCCACTCCCTGAGTGATCACTTACCTCCCTGACTGGCTGGTCTTCCTGTTTCCTGTTATTGGTTTCCATTTATCCCCAGAAAATTCCTGCAAAGCAAAATTCTGATAAATTAGGGAGCTCTGAGCAGCCAGGTATCCAGATGTCTTCAAAAATGTGAAGAGGTTGGAAGCCTGTCCCTGGCCAGACCCCGCTCCCCACACTTGGTTTCTTCTACTTTCCCACACAGGCTAGAGAAATATGCACCTGGAGTGCTGCCTTTCTGTCCAGAGGCCTGGTGAACTGCTGGGGGCATGCAGAGACTAAGAGAGTACTCAGAGACCTGGATCATGTGCTCTAGAAACTCCGTGTTTCCCTCTCTTTCTCCACTCCCCTCCCAAACCATCTTGTAAACCAGTTTAGCACGTTTGCTGTTTGCTCTGGCTCTTGTGAAGGAGGTCTTTTTGTTTATTCTGCCACATGAACCTGCTCATTCCTCTTGCCTCTTCTAACATAGAAAGCATCTTCTTCGAAGCCCTGGCCCTTGAGGGGGCTTTCAGGCCTGAAGCCCCATGCTGCTCTAACCTTTTCCCAAGGTGAGGCACACACAGAGCATGCATGCCAGCACACCTTTGTACTGCAGGGGCCCTTCCTTCTCCTCCCAGATCCACTGGTAGCGGCTGAGGTGGGCTCATCTCTGGGGAACACGAGCGCCAGGTGCCACGGTCCCCACATTACAGAAGCATGCTCTCCACCCTGGCCATTTTTTCCTTAAGGGCTTTGCCCAAGCAAACTGTAGCTCAAGCCATATGTGCCATTTGTAAAAATGCTCCTCCCTTCCTATTCTAGATCCAAACCTAATGCAAATTTGCCTTTTGACATTCTCCCTGACTTTGCATGCAGCATTCTCTACCTGGCAACCCAAAGCTTAACTCAACAGGAAAGCACAATTTTTCCTAAACCTCACTGATCTCCCAAATTCCCTCTTCCTCCAATGCTGTCATTAGTCCTGTTCAAAGTTTTATTAACCTTTGCCCCAGTAAAAAAAAAATTTGCTCCCTTTTGGGGGTAAGATACTTAGTGTCTGTCATTCTGGCTAAGACACTTATTAGCTGTGCTGTCTGAGGAAAGTTATATCACCTCTCTGAACCTCAGCTTCCTATCTAGTAAATAAGGGCTATGCCATCAAGCTTTGCTGGCTTCCCCGGAGTGAGTACAAAATGGGATATGCATAGAGAATGCCTAGCACAATGCTTGGCATGCGAGAGGCTGTAGATGTTAGCAGTCACAAGAAAGATGAGGTTTTATAGCTTTCCCAAGACCAGAGCGGTCCCTGCCTGTACTTGTCATATTAGAGCAGCTCTGACCACTTGTTATACTTCAAACTCGGCCTCAACACCCTTCTGAGATGTTCCTGCCCTCAAAGACACTATTACTCCTTCAGGCACAGTGGGAGCCAGGATTTCCTGTCCATGCCCTGTGGAAAGTGCTCAGTAAATAGCAGTGGCCAAACCAAAGTCCTGTCCCAATTTGCAACCTCCTTGTCAGCTCCCCAGTATCACCTTACTTTGTTTCCTTGAATCACTTAAGTTGGTGTAAACTGCCTGTACTCTATGGACCAATGAGGCAGTGAGCCCTACAGCTTGTCGCAGACGGGGTTCAATTGTTGCCCCAATCGAAGTTATACTGCTAGAAGGCATCCTGCCATACTGGAGAGGGCCTGGGCTTTTCTTTCTCTTTCTTTTTGCATTCCAATTTTCTCTTTATTTGATTGGCCCAGGTTAAACTTAATTAAAATGCTAAATATTAACAAGGTTATGGGGAAGACAAGCACTGTCTTCAGGAGGAGAATTTGACAATATCAACCAAGGCTTTTATTTTTTTATCTTTTAAATAGTATATTCTATTTTTTTAATATAATTTACTGTCAAGTTGGCTAACATACAGTGTCTACAGTGTGTTCTTGGTTTGGGGTGTAGATTCTCATGATTCATCGTTTACATACAACACCCAGTGCTCATCCCAACAATGCCCATCATGCATTTTCCCCTCTCCCCTTTCCCCCCATCAACCCTCAGTTTGGGCCTGGGCTTTTCAATTAGCTCTCCATAAGAGAGGCAGTGTAGCACAACTAGGAGCTTGGCCTCTGAAGCTAGATGACATGGATTCAAATACCACACCTGCCCTTCCCTAGTGGTATGACTTCAGGCAAACTACACAGCTTCTCTTTAGCTTATCTCCCCCAGCTATTTAATAGTGAGATCATCATAATAACAGTACCTATTTCCCGATTGCTTCCAGGACTAAATGAGTTGATACATATAAAGTGCCTAGAATAATACTGAGTGCAAAGTGGATACTCAAATGTCAGTTACGGTTATGTCGCTCAAGTTTTGCGTTTGCCACTTGCTAGATGTGTCACCTCTGTGAGCCTCAGCTTCCTTGGCTATAAAATGGGGATTCTAGGGGTGCCTGGATGGCTCAGTCAGTTGAGTGTCCGACTTCAGCTCAAGTCGTGATCTTGCAGTTCGTGAGTTCGAGCCCCGCATCGGGTTCTGTGCTGACAGCTCAGACTGGAGCCTGCTTTGAATTCTGTGTCTCCCTCTCGCCCTGCCCCTTCCCTGCTTGCACTCTGTCTCTCTCAAAAATAAATAAACATAAAAAAATAAAAAATTATTTAAAAATGGGGATCCTATTATACCTTAATCTCAAACAATTGTTAAATGAAATAATCTGATAATATATGAAAAACTAACTGGCATGAAGTATGAGGAATGTAAGTGCATGATGATTTTAGTTCTTTTAAAGTACTAAGGAGCTAATTAGCTCCCTAACCTCTTTCAGGGGCCATAAGGAGCAGAATCTCAACCCTACTTCAGACAGCCACCGACCATCACAACCACCTTGGTCATTTGACCTGGGGTGTCCTATCCCATATTGTAAGTTTTCCTATGTCTGGCATGTACATGTGGGTGTTCAGGTGGCAGGGGAAGAAACAGGCATGAAGTAGCTTCACATATCTGAAAGCCTAGTGTATAAGCAGACTTGCTGAGCTGGTCTAACTGGCATTGGGAACCCATTGTGTCCCCTTCCTTCAGAGTACAAAAGGAGAGGCATGGTGTGGGCACAGGCACACCTGCATTGCTGCTACCAACTACTGCAACCTTCACATTTCATCTCCTTCTCTTATGGAGCTACCAGCTCTGGGCCAATACTCCTGCAAGCCATCATGTCCTTTCCCCCAACTTCAGACTACTTCCTCTACTGTCTACTCGCAGGACCTTCTTTCAGCAAACATTTCAAACTAAGCTCAAATCTCCCTTTAGTTTAGGAGACAATAACTCACACTCAAAAGATGATAACTCTCTGGTAGTCACTGTTCTAAGTGCTTTACCCATGTTCCACCATTTAATCCTCTCAACCAACTTATGAAGTAAGTTATTACTTGCATTTTTTTTCACATGGGGAAGCTTAGGAATTTGAATGCAGGCAGTCTGGTTCCAGCATCAGTGATTTTTTAATCATTATTTTATATTTCCTCTCCTCTTTGCTTCAACATTTTGTCTTAAGTATTTCCAAGCATCCAGAAAAGTTGAACAAGTTTACAATCATCTATATACCCACCACTTAGATTCTGCAATGATTATGTTACTACATCTGCCTGATTCCATACCTATTCACTCCTCTACCCATCCACCAATCTATCTTACATTCTTGATGCATTTTTAAAAAAAAAAAATTTTTTTTTATTTTATTTTTGGGACAGAGAGAGACAGAGCATGAACGGGGGAGGGGCAGAGAGAGAGGGAGACACAGAATCGGAAACAGGCTCCAGGCTCCGAGCCATCAGCCCAGAGCCTGACGCGGGGCTCGAACTCACGGACCGCGAGATCGTGACCTGGCTGAAGTCGGACGCTTAACCGACTGCGCCAGCCAGGCGCCCCTAGAGCTCTTGATGCATTTTTAAAGTGACAAAGAGATTTATCCCCATAAATTTGAAAACTTAAAGAAAATAGACAGATTTTTCTTGATGAATTACCAAAGCTCACTCAAGAAGAAAAAGATAATTGAAATGACCTGTATCTATTAAAGAAATGGAATTTGTAGTTTAAAATATTTCCACAAAGAAAACTCCAGGTCCCGATGGCTTCGATGATAAATTCTACTAAACATTTAAGGAAGAAATAATACCAGTAGTATGCAAACTCTTTTTGAAGATGGAAGAGGAGGAACAACCTCCCAACATATTTGGTAAGGCCAGCACCTTGTCATGAAAACCAGACAAGGACATTATAAGAAAACTACAGACTAAAATCCCTGATCATCATAAACACAAAAATCCCTAACAAAATATTAGCAAATCTAGTCTTGTTCTTATTTCAAAAACCAATCAATAGAATTCACCGTATCAATAGAGTAAAAGAGAAAACTATAAGATCACTTCAATAGATATAGACAAAGCATTTTAAAGAATCCAGCATCTGCTCCTGACGAAAGCTCTCAGCAAATTAGGAATGAAAGGGAACTTCCTCAAGCCATCAAAGGGTATCTATGAAAACTTATAGCTAACATCAAACTTAATATGGAGAGATTAGGAACAATGCAACACTAGCCACACTTACTATTTCTACTAAACATTGTGTTGGAGGTCCTAGACAGTGCAAGAAGGCCCCCCCTCCCCTATAAAATGTATACACAATAGAAAGGAAGATAAAAAACAATTTCATTTGCAGATGACATGATTGTCTATATAGAAAACCTTTTTAAAATCTACCACAAAGCTACTAGAACTAGTGAGTTTGGCAAGGTTGCAGGATACAAGACCAATATACAAAATTAAATTGTATTTCCATATAGTATTAACAATGAATTTTAACTTGACATTAAGAAAACAATACCATTTACAATAGCATCAAAACCATGAAATTCTAGGGATAATAGCTAAATATTTGCAACATTTGTATGCTGAAAACTATAAGTTGTATACATCAATATACTTCAAAAACATCAGCATACATATTAAATAAAGTTTGATATTTGTTTATAATATTTATAGGCAAAATTTACTTGCAGGGAAATGCACAAGTATTAAGTGCACATTTGTTGAGTTTCAATGAATGCATACACCTGTGTAACTCAAATGGTTATCAAGATACAGAACACTACCACCATCTGACAAAGTTCCCTCATGCGTTTTCCTGCTCAATCTCTGTGGCACCTTCCGTAGGTAACCAGTGTTTTCTTGTTTCCCAAAGAATAGCTGTTATAGAATGTTACATAAAAGGAATAGCATATACTCTTTTGTGTAAGGCTTCTTTCACCCCTAAGTTTCCTTTTTTTTTTCTTCAAAGAATGTGTATTGAAGAACTCCACACACTAAGTCATTCAGGAGTGTCTGCCTCTGCAACAACAGTTCAACACAGGAATTAACTTCTGATTTGAGTGCACCAGCCAAAAGGTGGCGCTAGGGAAGCCATGGGGAAGGAACCTGGCAGTGAGCTGGTAAGGACATAGGGGATCCTCTCAGGAGTCCCTTGGGGGATTGGTGGTAGCCTGCGTTTGGGGGTGGGGGGTAGGTTATAACCAGTAAGTATAACAACAGCTAGTCTAGACCTGGGCCTCTGACAAAGATAGGCTGGAGAAGGGCATAAGGATTTGTTCTTTAGAAAACCTGGGGGACATTTACAAATTTTGCAGGTCCAAGTAGTTTTTCAAGCAGGAATTGGAAGGGAATAAGTGCTATTTTCTGTCAGGCATTAGACCTGTTTGATCTTCACAACTGATATATGAGGCAACCATTATTTTCCTCTACTTTAGAGATGAGGTAATAAGACTTCTCTCAGTACTGGCCATTTTATGAGGTAAAAGTTCTGTTTTTTTCCCCTTTAAAAATCATGTACCTGTGGGGCACCTAGGTAGCTCAGTCGGTTGAGCATCTGATTCTTGGTTTCGGCTCAGGTCAGGATCTCACAGTTTGTGAGTTCAAGCCCCACATCAGGCTCTGCGCTGACAGTGTGGACCCCACTTGGGATTCTCTCTCCCTCTCTCTGCCCCTCCCCTGCTCATGTTCTCTCTCTTTCTCTCTCTGTCTGTCTCAAAATAAATAAATAACATTTTTAAAAGGTCATGCATGTAATGCAAGTTTTGGTGGTTGAATGACTTACTTGCTCAAGGTCACTCAGATACCAATTTTACAGTCAGGATATACATCCCAGTTCTGTCCATTTTGTGAGGCAAATGTCATTTTCATCTAAAGATGGGTTAACTGCAACTTTGGTGGCTGAGTGTCTTACCCAAGGTTACTAAGCTACCACTTGGAGAAGCCAGGGCTATACAGTTTAAAGGAATTGTAATCATTACATTTTCCAATTATTTGCCTCACTTTCTCCTCACCAAGAGAATAATGGAAGCAAAAGTATCCAAGAACCAAGTCCTCACCTGCACTGTCAGCTTCCTGGGTTTCCAAGTGTTGCTAGGTGCCAAACTGCCATCCTCAGGGCTACTGTGCTGGGGATTATGATAGCAAGCTGAACACCGGATGCATTGGTGGTGGTGGCACCGACAGTTGTAGCAGTTTGGCATCATATTTCTCTTTCGCAAAGCAGGGCAGATTTCCCCAGAACAATACATGCACGGGTCATGGACTATGGCTCCCTGGACACTGCAGGAGTAGGAGCAGGTCCTGTGGTAGTCAAAATCTCCACAGTGCAGCGACTTACAGCACATGGATGGTTCTAGACCTTTGCTTGCAAAACATTCTGAGTATGTAGGAGTTTCTGACTGAAGGGGTGACACCGAATGATATGATTTGTCTGTGGCATGATATGGTTGGTCTGTAGAATGATATGATTGGTCCATTGGATGGCGCCTCAATTCCCTATAGCTGGAGCTCATTGGCTGGAAGTTTTGGTCTATAGGTTTTGGTCTCTGGGTAAAAGTCTTATTGCTATGAGTGGTTAAACCTGGCAAATGTGATGTAGATAAGGATTTGCTACTCTCTTCAAAGAACTTTCTTCTGTCTGCAAAGGGAAGGAGGATGGCTTCCTCCCCAGCTTGGGCAGTAGAAACCTTCAATTCCTTGCTGTCACTTGGGTTAGAAGGGCCTTCCATGGATAGTGCCACATGTGGCTGTAGGTTGTTCTCTGGAGACCATCTCCAGTGACCTCCACAGACTCCATGGTGAACATTTGTTTTCTCAGAGTCTGAGGAGGACAGGTCAGATGCTTTCCACCAGGTGTTCAGGCCAAAAGAGGGCTGGCCAGGCCTCTGGCCAGGGCTTATTTGTCCCTCTAAGCCTGTCCTAGATTCATGGCTCTCAGTGGCTTGGGTGAGGCACTCTGAAGACCTAGCCTTGAGTATCATGCTCTTGTTGAAGAGCTTGTCCCTGGGGCTAGGTGTTTTTTTATATGAAGATAGAAGACATGAGTTCGAGGCAGAATGTGGAGTACTTTCTAGGGGCTCCTCAGTCTCTTCCACTGGCTCCTTAGTGTCACACAGCTGTGACAAGGGATTCTTGCTCTTCTGGAGCTGGGCCTTCCTCCTCTGAATCTCATTACGCAGATTGGTAGCAAAACGCTCACTCTTACGCCGGTTTTGGATTGAGCGGCCCCGGGGCCCTCTATTTCGTCTCTCACCTACCTGGCCACATTCCTTGGGTTCACTGTCCCCTTCTTCAGTAGCCTCCATGCTGCCAGCTACTTTAGTGGTTGAATAACAATCCCTGGTTTGTTGAACAAGGGAGCCAGAGGCAGAGGGCTGCTGGCTGGCTAATTCACTGCTTGCTCTACAGGCTCTGTTTGGGTCCCGGAAACTTATCTCTGGAGGGTGTCCATCAGCCTCTCCATGTGGGGAACTGCTTGGGCTCTGGTGTCCTGAACCCAAAGACCTGTCATCCACTTGCCTGGTCTTTCTCTCTTTGCTAGGCTGGTCCTGGGTTCTTCCTGTGGAGGAACATGGACTTTTCTTCCCTGTGTGGCTGCTATGCAAAGGTGACAGAGTCCACTCATGCCCATCCTCCCCGGTTGGGAGCTCCATTCCCTTGCTGCCCCTCATATCAAGGTGTACATGCTGTAAATGGGATTCCAGAAGCTGTTCAGGGGCACTATGACGATGCCCCGTGGGTCCTGTGAGGTGTGGAGGGCTGCCAAGAGAAGCAGCCTTAGTTGGTTCTGCTGAAGCCTTCTTGAGTGGGCTGGAATCTATGCTGGAAGCTTTGTCATACACTTTTGGGAATCCAACGGCTTTGGCTGAGGCCTCCATCAGTAGATGCTCAGAGTCCTGCTGGCCGGATTCAGGACCTTGGCTGAGCTCACAGTTCTGATGGCCCTCATTTGTCACTTGGTCTTGCCCGCTGAGGCAGCAGAACCTGTTAGGGTTCCTTGGGGATAGCACGGTGTCTAAGCTCACTATCTCCTTCTGCTGCAAGGAGTCCACATGCTCAGAGGTCCAATGCTGCTCTCCATTAAGGAGCTGGGCTCTGGAGGCCTGAAGGCTGTCTCGCCTCACTGGAGGCTGTGGTGGGCCTCTGATAGCCTTGGCAGGCCTAGAGTGGTGGGTCTCCTGTGGACGGGATGACATCTGGGAGCTGGGAGTCAGGTGGCCCCCATTGGTGGTGCGCCGGCTACCTCCAGAGGTCTCAGTCACATTGGGCCGGCCACTGGCAGCTTTTGTTGGCCCCGGGCCTAGCATGATGCAGTCTGCAGAGCCTGGCTCTTCTGGCTTGAGGGAAAGGGCACAGTCAGAGGCATTTGAGCTGGCTGAGAAGGAGCTATAGGCTGAGTCACGCTGGTTGGGGTACATGTTCTGATCCATGGGCAAGAGGTGGCCCTCATAGGAAGCTTGGCCTGGTTGCTCCAGGCTCTCCATGCTGCCAATGGAGCTGCTTTTCTCAGTGCTGCAGTGCCGGGAGAGTGGACACCACTGCACACACACGTCACTGCAAGACACAGGGCACACTGGTTAGTTAGCCAAATTACCACATCCCTCTCCCGCCATGGCCAGCCCTGCCGTGGGAGAAGGCAGAACAACCCAGAGGCACCCGTGCCACAAATAAGAAGGAGATAAGGCAAAAAAAGGAAGAAGGGAAACAGAGAAAGATATGGATACTGGGGCTCCAGAGAGACGTGGTAAAATGGGAGACAAAACAACATATGGAAACAGGAGAGGGCAAGATCCCAAAGACTAAAAGTGTAAGAACTCCACTGGGGCTTATGCTCTGTTTCCCTGCCACCAGTGAGTCTAGAATTGCTTGTGGCCTGTCACTGTCCTTAGGAAGTCAGCATGTGGCTCTCTGCCAGGAGAGACAATCACAGAATATTAGTATTAGAGAGAGACTCTAAAGGGTTGATTCAATTTCAGCCAGCCCACTTTGTAAATCACTGGCTGTCAAATTTGAATGTGCATCAGAAGCACAGGGAGGACTTGTCCAAACAACACAGGTTTTCAGGCCCCATCCCCAGAGTGTTAAGTCTGGGTGAATCCTGAGAATTTTTGCCTTTGACAAGTCCCCAGGTGATGTTGGTACTCTTTGTTGGTCCAGGGACCACACTTTTGAGAATTGCTGGAGTAAAGCGAGCCCTGCAAAAGGAAGTGATTTTGTGGAGGTGATTTTCTCAAGATCACCCAGCTGTAGCTTGTGACCCAGACAGGGCTGGAATTTAGGCAGCGTCTGGTTCTCTTCTTGGTAGTAGTGATCCTGACCATTTACCAAGGACCTACAATGTGCCAGGCACTTTACAATGTCTCATTTCAGACTGAAGGGGACAGATTATTATCCCCCAAACAATAACTGAGAAAACAAGCTTAGCAATGTAAATTGACAAGCTCACATAGCTGCTAAAGAAGCAAAGCTGGAATTTGAAACCAAGCCTCTGTGAGTCCAATGTCTTAGCTCTTCTGCTATACTATTTGTTAAATTGGAATAATAATAATAATATCTGTATTATTATTAATAATAATAATATAATATCAGGTTGCTTTGTTGGTGGCATCAGTTAATAAATGTAAAGCTCTTGTCGCAGCCCAGGCACCTAGCAAAGGTTCAATACACAGCTAGCTGCTGCTCTATTGCTTTTTGTTTTAATTTATATTGTTATCAGTACGCTCTGTATCACTAGTGTTGATATTATGGTTGGCCGTGCATACCCATCACTCCCTCATCCCCCATAGCAAAGCCAAACCAGGGAGACCAAGGAAGGAACCGGGATAAGACACAATCTTGAATTTTAAGTACCATTTCCCACAAACAAAGCCAAAGTGAGCCAAGTCATGCCAGTAACTCCCTATGCCTAGAACCTCTGAGGTCACAGACTGTTCTCAGAAAGGCCATAGTTCATAGACCCAGAACTGAGAGGTGGCAAGGGCTCCCAAGATCCCCAGATCAGCCTCCCTTCATACTTGCTTCCTGCCTTGCCACTTAGCCACTCTGTTCATGTGACTTCTGGACTAAGAATCCATCAATTCCTTGCTAGTAAGGCAACCTGCCACCCACCCTACCACCCTTCCTGCTGCAGACAACCACACCCCCACTCAAATAGGAGCCAAGCCAAGAATGTGTTTCAGTGTATTCTTCCAGAACAGAACTGCCTCTGCCCGGAGCTCCTGTCTTTTGGTGCTAAATAAAGTCATTGACTGGGGGCAAACTCAACCCTTAGCTTCCCTGAGCCTCATCACCAGAAATTCCTTCTTAGAGGGAAGTTCTTGTTGTGGAATGGAAAATATAGCTGAGGCCAGCAGCCCTCTGGGCTCTGAGTTTGCAGAAAAAGTTCTCTTCCCCTTCTGGGCAGCTGTTTTCACAACAGACAATACTAGGCCCCCTGAATTGAGAGATCCTCATGGCAAATAGACCCTGTTCTTCAGAGAGGTGCCCATTCTGAGGGCTTTGGCCCTGTGACAGAGCTGGTGAACTCTGGATGAGATCACCTTGAGTCATTGTAGCTAGAGAAGAGAACCAGAACTGAGCCCCAGTGCCCTCCTGCATTGAGACCCGGGGGGATTAGGAGGAACTAGGGGAAAAGACTGAAAATGAGCAGCCGCTGAAATAGGATGAAAAGTAGAAGAGTGTGGTGTCTTGCAAGCCAAGTGAAATATTTCAGGGAAACATTTTCTAGAAGGAAAGGGACTGTCCCAAAGTCACAGAGAACTAGCAGTAAGTAGCCTAGGACTAGAACCCAGGTACTATGGATTCCCACTCCATTTTCCATTATAGCACTCTGGGCTCTATAGCATGCATCTGGGACTAGAGCAGAAGGGTAGGAGTGGCCAGATGGTCTACCCTCCAGTTCATCTTGAAGGGGAGGGTTCTAGACTCACCTTGTGTTGCAGCCGGAATGCCAGGACAAGCTGAAGGCTTCAGAAGGGAAATGCATGGTGGTAGCCACTTCAGGGCATCCTTCCAGCAGCTTGGCCACATGCCATGAGTGTGGCCTACTGACAGGGGCGTTTCTCCTACAGCAAGAAAGGGACAGGAAGTCAGCTTAGGGAACCAGAGCTGAAATCACTTCCCATGCAGCTTCCACCCCCACCCCCTCTTTCCCTTAAATGAAGTAAAACATCTTGCAAGGAGCTGGTATGGGAATCTTAGTGGCCCTCTTCGGCTCCCAGCACTCAAATCTCCTTCGTGCTGAGGATGAGGCATGGATATACAGAATGTCAGTTTCACAGGGCTATCTTGCTCATGGGTGTATCCCAGGCACACACAGCAGTGCCAGACCCATAGTAGATACTCAGTAAGTATTTGTGGAATAAATGAGTACTGCTGCCCAATCAACAGTGAGCCTACCCTAAGTTGTCTTTGAGGAAAAAAATCAATCTGGACAAACATCCCATTTTTCTCTAAGAAAAGAATAGGCAAGGGGTGCATAGGTGGCTCAGTCAGTTAAGTGTCCATCTTTGGCTCAGGTCATGATCTTGTGGTCAGCAAGTTTGAGCCCCACATCAGGTTCTGTGCTAACAGCTGGGAGCCTGTATCCTGCTTCAGATTCTGTCTCTCTCTCTCTTTTTCTTCCCCTCCCCCACTCACACTCTCTCTCAAAAATAAATAAACATTAAAAAAATTTTTAAAGAAAAAAATAGGCAAGTGATAGAGAAGTTCAAAGAAGTCAACACCAGGCTGCAAATCCTCCAATTTTCTCTTGTTCCTGTGATAAGCATTTGTTATATGTTTACTTCTTCACAATGTACCGTCTGTGTATAGCTCTGGGGATACAGAGATGAATCAAACATAGTCTTTGCTTACAGATTAGTGGGAAAGAGAGCTAATTCGAATAAAGCATGGTGAAGGCACTGAGGGAGTGAAGGATAAGATGGGCACAGAGGTGAGATGCCTGAGTTTGTAGGCAGAGGGGGACAAGGAGCCCCAACTCCTGCCAGGGAAAACAGCACCAAGTGGTGAGTGATGCAGTGCTGGGCTGACAGAGAGACTGTCTGCTCTGCATGGCGGGGGTACATAGAGGGATACAGGTCTGAGGCCAATGCCCTGGAGGCAACCACAAGGTGTCTGGTGCTGGAGGTTGCAGCCATACTCTTGTACTGACTGGCATAGACAAGACCCATTCCTGTCCTCTGGTATATTCCCCGTGAATAGATACCACCCTTACAAGTGGAGAAGAATGACATGGGGAAGAGCACACGTGGGACCTGGGTAATTCACCAGAAGATAAGGAGAAGGTTGATTAGATGGGGGGGGGGGAAGGAAACAGAGAAAAAAAATGAAAGAGAGAGAGAGAAAGAAAGAAAGAAAGAAAGAAAGAAAGAAAGAAAAGAGTGAGAGAGGGAGGGAACCTGGGTGGCTCAGTCAGTTAAGTATCCTACTTCAGCTCAGGT